TATAAAGTTCTAATTTACATTTCTGTGATACTTGTGGATGTCATGGGTCCTGAGAGTAGGCTGGTTCTCTCCACATACATCGTATTTGTTCATACTAACTTATGATCTCATTCTATAAAATAAAATTTTATGTATTTATTTATTTATTTAGGAGACTTCTATGCCGCCCCATTCGCCGAAGCCTCGGGGCGGCTCACAATACAAAATGTTGTATTGGCTTGTTTTTCTTATGACTCTGCTTCTCCATTAACAGTCATAGGTCCTGCTTTGTAGTCCTGACAGTGTTCAAGCCAAGAAAGAGGCTTAAATAAGTGGAGGCTGGGAAAATGAACATAAAATGGGGAAGAACTAGGCAACATGCTAAAATGACAAAAGTTTTTTTTTTAAAGAAAAGAAATATAATAAAAACGGAACAATGAAGCAGCTGCCAGATTTGCGTTTGCTTTGCAGTTGTGCCTGCTGAGCTGTACATAATTACTTAACTCTATTTTTCATATAAAACTAATACCATAGCAACTAAAATTATCAACTTTATTGCGTGATGTTCTGGATGGCGACACTGGCCTCTCTCCAAACCAGCCCATATGTGAAGACATGCACATGGGATTTGGGTCTACTTTTTAACAGCCCCATGGTTTTAAATAAGAAAATAAAATGATCACTTTAAACAAAGATAGCAAATGTAAGGTTACATAACATGTCAACTTTTTAAAAGCCATGGTTTTTAATCCTTTGAAAAAAGCAAGGTGCATTGGCTTTTTTTCCTGAAACCTCTGCAACTATCTTTTTAAAAATCAGTATCGACTAAAGCAATGGTTCCCAAACTACATTCTAACAAACCATTACTAGTCAACACTGTTCAATGAGAAGAAAAGTGATGTGGCAAGTTTTCCTGAAATACAGTTTGTGCATTGCTACTGATCTTCTCTTGCAGTGTAAAGCTATAGCAGAGTGGCTGCAAGGGACATTCTTTCAGTTGAGAAACAGTGAATCCCAAGAAAGGGGAATGCTGCCCATTTGAATCGTACAGGCAACCCATGATGTGCTCAAGCCATGCAGAATCCCTCAGCAGATAAGTCCATTCAGAAAGGAGTCCTAGAATGTAGGACATTTAAAAACTGCTGGAGAAATGTGCCAAGAATGCCAGATAGCATCCCAGTTTCACCAAACAACATCAGGGCTTTTTGTTGTAATTTAAAGGAATGGTGCGTTGTCTGCAGTTAGGAAACCTTTGCAAAGAAGAGATTCTGACCTTGATGGTTGTGGGTTGATATAAGAAGTTAACAGAGGGCAGAAAGCAAAGTGGTCAGAAATATTGCAAACCAATGATATTCACAAGATACGTTCTGTATGCAGACTAGCCTCTACTGCAGAGATACTGGGAGCTGTAGCCCAACACATCCAGGAAGCCTTATCATCAGGAAAGCTGTGTCCTGTTTGCTGATATCCACTGGTCATTGGCTTTAAATTTCAGTAACAACCACCAGATGGCATTACTACTTCCAGTGTAATTTATATGACATGTTGAGGCTTACAAATGATAAATGGTAATTTATACTACTAGTGCATTAAACAATAGCTAACACTCAATTATAAATATTTAGTTGTGGGTCAATCAACAGTTTCTAGCTCTTACAACCACGTTTTGCAATTACCTGCACAGCAGGTAACTGTGACCAACATTTAAGAAATGTTTACACTTAACCTGCTTCTCCTTAAGGCAGTTCTCAGAGCTCTTAAGGCAGTTCACAAAGCCAATTTAAAATAGTATTATGTAGCAACAGTAATTAAAAGCAATTGGAAACAATAAACCAAACAACTACATACACTGAAAAAGAACAATTATTGTTGGTTTAACTTATTTACTATCAAAAAATCCTGACAAATGGGACAGAATAATCTTTTAGATGCCAAGATAATAAAGATTATGATGCCAGACAAATTTCACTAGAAAAAGGTTCTCTTTCCAGTAGCCAACCAACTGACCTCCTGAGGTGGAGACATAAGAAAGAAGGTGTGTAGATAAAGCAGGTGACCAGTTTCAAACCAGCCCTTTAGATTCCCTGGTCCCAGACTAAGTGCAGTACAATACTGCTTCACACAGTGCTTAGCTGCTCACATCACAGGCTATGAAAAAAGGTTGGGACACTGCTGAATGGTCACTATATGCTGACTTCTTCCAGCACCATTCAAATGTGGCAGCTGGGACCTATGTGTTATCCTGGGACACATTCAAATTTTGTAACCCAGCCCTCGCTCTCATATACTACAATCTCATCCTGTATATATACACTCTCATGTCATTAAATTTTTAATCCTGAAATTATTTTTTATATTTCCAGAGTTATGCTGTGAACCATGTTGAGGCTTTCCTACCACTCCCTCACTCCACAGCCCTCTTGTACTACAAAGTGTCCAAAAAAGCTTGCTGACAATTTTGTAACCATTTGGTTAGTCCTAATGAAGCTATCATCCTATTGATACTCTGACTTCTTAAATTTCAATGAAACTACTGGAAAAAATATATAAGTAGACCAATTTATTTTAAAACATTATTTTTTGGACATTTTACCAGGGCAAGTGTCCCAAAGGCCACAGTGAATCAGATTTCCCTCTCCAAAATTGGAGGCTGCACAGCAACCTTGGAAGGAGTCCCCCCTTCTCCCACTCCCTTGCAGCCAACACAGAGAACTGTGCCAGCTGCTTCTCCAAGGTCAGAAAACTGGCCTTGGACAGGGTGAAAGGGGATATTCCCATGGGTGGAGAGGGGACAAGACCAGAGGTCAAGACACTATTTACCCAGAGCTCTCACTGGCTGCAACTCTTCTTCTCCAAATGGGCTCACAAACCCTTCTAGTGCAAAAGGCAAAGGGCACCTCTGCTACTCTTCTCACCATGTAAGCTTCAATCCAGCAGAGCATTATGAATCTTGGAAGCAAAACCATGCATTATCTTCTCAAGTCAATTTGTCCAGCAAGTCTAACTGAAAGTTAGTTGCAGCACACTCTTCTGCACTCTTCCGAGTAAGAAAGATTAGGATGGTTTTCATACTTGTTTTCAGATGTAACACCTGACAAGAAAATTTCTTAGAAATACTCGTTGCATGTTTGTGAAGCAAACATTTCCGTGAATGTACTTTCGGCTGATAAACCCTACCAGCAACATTGCCTCCATGTTCTCTCGGAAAAGAATGACTTTGATTATTACAATGTGTTGTTCCTCCCTCCACTTTACATATAAAGATTTCCAAAACTGGTATTTCTTTAAAAAGCATGTCACACAGGGAAGCAAAAACTTCTCTCTCACACATCTGACAAGTGCTCCTTTAACTGTGCAGGCACACTCTTACTGTTCTAGAAACAAGCCTGGACCTGTAAATTTCTTGCATGTTATTGTCTGCTTAGATGAATTCATCCAGTTGTAAAGAGAAAGCAGAGAAGCAAGGGAGGGTTCAAGGACTTGAAGTTTCTTCGATAAAGTTTCTTCGATGGAGTGTGGGAACCAACCTGCCCGCGAAAGGCAGGGAGATCTTTCAGAGTTGCAAGGGGAGGAGATAGAAACAGAATTCCTTGACCCAGTGCCAAGATGAAGTGAGCAAAACAAAATGTCTGGTGTTCCCACCACCTAGCTCACAGGTGGCTGGAGCCACCCTGACGGGAGAGCAAGAAGTTCTACCAAAAGAGATGAAAGGAAGGGAAGTTTCAGTTTGGATTCAAATCTTGACATGGGCAGATGCCTCCCCTAGATCTCAAAAAGACTGCTACTCTGATAGCCACTGTGCTATGAACAGTTAAGTGTCAATAAAGGAACTGCATTTCTGAAGCTTCATTCTGAGTCTACTGGAAAAGAGAAAGAGAGGAGTGATCTGCTCATGACATCTATGTTCAGAATGTTGCTTACTGTTTCCTAACAGTGATTTTAATTGGCTCCAGCAAATCTCAGAAGATTAAAACCAGGAGTAGGCAGAATGTCATTCTCCAAAAATTTGGGACTCCCAGCATTTCTAACCAACGGCCACACTGACAGAAACTTTTGCGAGTTTATATCCAAAACATGGAGATTTAACTTCTGCCCATTCCTGATCTTCATAATCCTTACACAGATACAGGAAAATAAGTTTCCATAAACATCCTCTAGCATGGTTGGGTGTAACCCCACCACTGCTATGGGTCCTATACCTTTGGAGCCAAAACCTGATTCTGACTTCGTAGGATAGTAGGGGGCCAATTCATTCATGGGAAGCTTGGGGGCTGTGAGCTTGGCTCTGTCTAGCTTCTTATCTGATGGTGGGCCAAAAGAGCATGATACTCCCTGTCCATCCATCACGGCTGCAAGAGTCAGCCTTGAATGAATCCTCTGTCAGAGTGAGAGCTGAACAGAAGGAAAGTCCTGAAGAAGAGGGTGGTTCCCAGTGGTCACCAGGGTTGAGACAGCAACAGAAGAGTGTCGTGCAATTGATTCTACTGCAATAAGGAGAGTTGTTGTTACCTGTGCTCTGTGTTAACTTGCTCAGAAGTGTCAGAAAGCCAAGCCTGAAAGCATGATCCACAATTTTTTTCTCATAATTATTTCTATATCTCCCAATAGCCAAAGGGCTCTGGGCAGTTTCCAACAAATTAGCCTCAATTATTTTGTTCATGGTAATGGACTTGCAGGTTGAGCCAAAGAATCTGAGTCTGTGGACACTCCCTGTCCACCTACCCCCCATACACATTCTTGGGTCCAAACTGCAACAAAAAGTAATATTGTGACAATAGGAGGGGGAGGGGGAGGGGGAGGGGGAGGAGAAGACGACGACGACAGAAGGGAGAGAGGGACAACTGCTTGGTTCTGAAATGTGTGTTGGGCTTGGACTAGTAAATTCAGGATTCTGGTATCCATTAAACTGGACTAATGCAGTTATATATCAAGGGCATTGGACAATATAGTGGCATATAAATTCAAGACATACATAAATACAAATAAAACAGCATGGCCCAATCTTCCATAATCAGACTCACATAAAAGAATCCCAGGGGTCCTGAGATATATGGCATTTTCATTCCCAAGAGGTACTTCACTTGTGAGGTCACAACATGGGTAGCTGCTCCTGTTGTCATTGCACTTATCACTGGCTCCGTCAGCAAGAAGGTGGCACTGCCCAAGTGCAGCACAAACATTGCTACCTGAGAAACCAAAGGCAAGTAAAGATTATATTTGAATGCAGCGAAGTGATGGAGAGATCCCCATCTGTTTTTCTTCCTCTTTTTAATAGAAAGATGGGGATGAGATAGCACCATGAGCAAATCAAACAGTGAAGTATTCATAGTGTATACCGTTGCGTATCATGAATAAATTCTCAAGCCATGTTCACTTTCAAGCATTTATTAAGTGATGTGCTTTATCTCCCATATCCCCAGCTTGCCAGGTCCTGCACTGAGATTAGTTAAAACAGCAGCTGTTTTTGCCAATGTGTTTTCAGCATGGGGATTTTGCTGAATATTGGCACTGTGTGTTGTTTTTTCAGTTACTCTAATATGTAAACACAATAAGCAGTACAAATGGAAAGGCATTGTCTTTAGCCATGAAAGGCACGCTGGAGCTACTTGAAAAGTTATTCAGCTCATACATTCACTGTACAGAGTCTGACAGACTGGCAGTCACAATGGGTCAGATTTCCAGGCTACACAGTTGGAGAAGGTGGGAGAAAGGGCTCCCCAGCTTCAGTTCTGCTACCCATCAAAAAGGTAATATGATTACACAATAACCACAAGGCAATGGTAACATAGTTGAGGTTAGATAGCATTACTGTACCAGCCAATCATCAAATAATAATTAGCATTGCTTCCAATAAATAAATCATAATTAACAACAACAATCCTAACTTTAACCAGCACCATATCATGATGCATAATTTATTCATTATTATAAAACATCTGTTTAACATTTTGATGATTATTCTTTTGTTTCCAGTTTTGGACACATTTGTCCCACTATTCTAATGCTTTTTTTCCCTTTTTGGTAAAGAACTTGCTTATGTTTCCTTAGAATACAAAATGTTGTGCATTAGCACACTATGTTTATTGTTCTTTACTCATTCTGTGAAAGATGCTGCAGACACAAACTTATGCCCTTGAGATTGTCCAGCCTGTCACAGGAGTCTTCAGTGCCCCAGCACCATCCTTAGAAACACGCTCTAAGGTCGGAGCTGGGGCCAATGGCCTCCTCACTAAGGCCTGCCTGGCACTAGCCTTGTCATCTTTTCTGTGCCCTGTTAAGATGGCCCTTTATGTTGAGGCTTTTAAAGATACTCTTGGATACCAAGGGCTTGAGGCAACCTTTTAAAAATTGTTGGGAGATGTCATCACAGATATGCTATAGAATGTGCAGGTTGGCTGTGTATTTGCAGGTTTTGCGCTTGCTCATGGTGATTCAAAAATTTGCAGAATCCGTCTGACCAACATGATCGAAAGAAAAATAAATACATCTATACATGTTTCATCTTGCATTTTGAGATCTGCAAGCTGACAAGCCCTTTACTGCATGTATATCATATTTGACTGACACATGCTTACATCTAGATACAATTGGACTTGAAGCTGAGGTTGATTTTAACTTACTAGCATAGTATGTAGAGAATGACATAGACTAGGGGTAGCCCATGTAAAGAAACCTCCACCATGGCCTACCTAGCATTGCTCGGGTGGAAAAATCAGAGAAGAGAACACATTCCCCAAGCTGAAAAATGTGTGTGTTGGGCTGGGGTGGCTATAACATCATCACCACATCTGGCTGGAGTCACTGGCTACAATCCAGCACAACGGATGTTTAATTTCACTTGAAATTGATTGGCTAAAGAATGCTTAGGGTCTTTGCACTAAAGCCCTCTCTCAACAGCATTTAGCCAAACATCCTTTACAAAACGTCGATGTCCATGACACAGATCCTAACACTGCCGCCACCTCAGAAAGTGAAAGATTGTAAAATAAAAAGGAACCGTTCCAAGGGCAAACCGACATGGGAAGGCCACCGTGTTCTTCCAACATCAGCAGTGTCAGACAGAAATGGCTTGTTTAGCTGAAGTGCCATCTTGAAAAGGGAAAGGAAATGATTGGAAATTATGCCATGTTCTATTAGGGCATCACTCACTTCCGACAAGCCTGCTAAGTAACATCAGTTTCTAAATGTCCCCAAATAGATCTCAAACTGACACTCAGTGACTGCAGCAAGCGATGGCTTGCATGTCTCTAACGATGCACATGCACATCTGAATCAGCTCTAAAATCCATTGCCAGCAGTGTCTAAGGAGACTACTTAGGGTCTTAAGCATGGTTGTATGTGCAGGGCAGCATCCAGTTCTGCCCCTCTGCTTATGCCCAGGTGCATCACACGCGGGCACAGCAGCCTCTGATGCAAGATGAATAGCATTTGCTGTCATGATGGCCTTTCTGGGGAGACCTTTTGCTCACTGTTGGCATTATGCTGTAGGTAGCTAATGCTGGCACAATGTCAGTAGTGTAAGCAGAGCAGAAGAACTGGATAGTACGTGTAACAGCCCTACCAATGGTTCTTTTTTTAGTCTTTGGCTTATGAAAAGACCCAGACTTTTCCCCATTTAATTATGTCAGTTATAGGATCATCACTTCTTAATCATCAATATAACAAAGACAGCATTTTGATTGAGTGATAACATAATCAAAGAGACTTTTCAATGAACACCTGAAGTTACAGTATGCCAGGTCCTTTTTCCCCATCTATGTTTGCTATTGAAGTTTGCTGGCCTCTTTATGCTAAATATTCAGAGGTTAAGCACTCACTCTGTTGGGTAAATGTAAAAGGTGCGGGGGGCGGGGATCTGTGACAACTCAGTGGAGACCAAACTACTCATGGTGTGGGTCATCCAAGAACGGAATCTTCTATTTTTAACCATTTATAGCAGCTGGAGTGAGAATGTCACAAGGAGAATGGGGTTAACGCTTTCATCTTTGCCATTTCCCTTGATATAGTACCCTTATGATATATGAATATTTTCTTTGCAGTTCGAATAGCATGTTTGGGGGTGGGGTGGGGGAATATTAATTGGGAAACTGGAATGGAGAAATCCTCCCCCTCCATTCCCCCTGGTTCTAATCTGAAGCCTGTTATTCACAGCTGCCACTAACTTTTTAAAAACAACACAGGAGATTCTGTTCGTGGAAAGAAAGAATAAATGCATTAATATTGGAAGAGAGGCAGGACAAATAGCCTGGGGGAATAAAAACAAATAAAGTTCAGTATGCATTTACTGAGGTACTAAGGCCCATCTGTGCCAAGAGATCTGAAGTGAAGCCTTAACTAAAAATTCATAGGAATGAAACATGGAGTGCACCAACTACTCATATTTTAAGGTAAAAATCTAGCATGTATCAGCTAGAGCAAATGTAGACTAAATGTACATCTTGTGCAGTATAGAGCATCTTGCCGGACAAGGAAGATGAAGATCTGATTGTCACTTTCACTTGATTTGCTATGATGTCCACTACTGGTGGAGAAAAGTGAGAGGGGGGTATAAGGAAAAGAAGAGAAAACATATGAAGGCAGAGACTAGAAAAAGGAGAGACTTTGGTTCCCCTGGGAGATCTAATAAAACAAAACTCTGAACAAGAAAGACACAGAATTTCCCACAGTTTGCTAGCTATTGTGGGCAGGTTCAAAAGCATTCCCTACTCCTCCATTGGATAGTGATTACAAGAGACTGATTAGCTTTTGTTGCTGTGGGGAATGAGAACAAAAGATGTTTTCTTTCTGATAGTGTCTATCAGTAACTAATAAAAAGTCTTTCAAGCATATGACTATTTATATGAGTCTGTGCAGAAAACAGAATTAAATACACACACATATAGACCAGGCTATTCTTGTCTGCATGAATAAATATAATGAAGAAAAGTGTATCTGCTGTGGGTTCCAAGATCCTTGTAATACATATGATGAATTGTCTATATGAAGATCACTTCTGTGCAGGTAACTGTAGCAATCCAGCATGTAGCTCACCATGCACGGATGTCATTTTGCCCTGCACAGAAATACTGAGAATGGCTTCCCTCACATTTAAGCACCAAGCTGACATAATTCATAATCTGATGCACAGCTACAACTTGCAAGATTTTAGAGAGTGTACTATTGCATGTGTGCAGCTGATTGAACATTTCAGCAGATTATACCGGTAGCTGTGCATCATAATTCATAATTCTATAGACGACTACTCAGAAGTACAGCCCATTGAGATCAGTGAGGCTTAATCTCAAATAAGTGACTGTAAGATGGCATCCCAACAAGACTATTGAATGGCCATCTAGACTGAGGGCCATGGGGTCTTCTGGGGTGTCTGAGCTGGGAATCCACACAGGGAGACCTTCCCCGCATTTGCAGCCAGTGCAGGAAAGAACCACGCTGGCTATTTGTCCGAGGATGCAAAAGTGATCTGGAGATGGGGTTTAGGGGCAGGGAGCAAAGGAAGCCAGTGCTGCTACTAAGATATAAGATATTCTGGCAACCCCCCCCCCGAAACTCTCCCTCATGTTCTGAAGCACCACAGTTACATAGCCAAAATTAGCCATCAGGCTGTTCTGCAGAGGTGGGAGGACCTTCAGCTCCACACACACGCTCCAAAGGGTTGGAGCAGCATCGTTCTACTGTACCTCAAGTGACTCAGGCAGGGCACAGGGTGGTATATGATCACAAAAGTCCAGTACGGCTGTGAGCAGAAATGGTTATGTACTTTTCACCATGACCAGGACACAAGGGTATTAATCTGACAGTAAGTAACCTGTGGCTCTCCAGATCTTTTGGCCTACAACTCCCCTCAACCTGAGCCAGCATAGCCTACAATGAGGGATGATGGCAGTTGTAGGCCCAGACATCTGGAAGACCGTACGTTGCCTAACCCTAAACTATAGGAATAGTCCAGTAAAATGATTGTATGCACTATCATACTTATTTTGAGTGCAATAAGTGACTGTCACAGTAAGAAAAACATATTCTGGTCAACAGGGAATTCTCAGCAGGGACCATACTTCAGTTTAGGTTCAGTTAGTTTCCATTTAGTTATTTCAGCTGTTCGCTGTAATGACATTACAATGAACATTGACCTGCTGAATCCAAAGACTGGGCTTGACAAAGCACACAAGAACGTTGGCAAAAGCAAAAGCCAGAAAGGCGACTTTCTGAGTAACTGCCACATTCCTTTCAGCAGAAGGAAAACTGTATTTTGTAAATTTGCCTATTGCCCATGGCTTTTAAAAATATTTTCAAAAGAAATATATCCTTGTACCTTGAAACAGAGGGCAATCAAATGAATATTGGGGAAAAACACCAAAGAACCACTAACAATGCTTCAACAGGCAAATTTCCACAAATACAAACCACAATTAGATGGAACAGTTAGATATCTACGCACTAGTACAAAGGTAGTCATTAATTGAAATCTGATCCTAGTAAAGCGGTACTTTCAAAGACAACATAGTTTACTATTTCCCCATCCCACCTCACTGTGTGTGTGTGTGTGTGTGTGTGTGAACACACGCCTTCCAACAGTCTGAAGATAAAACCTCTGTAGAAGTGGATTCTACTTCATAATGCTAGACTAGATGGCACATGTATGGAAGAACCAATGGAAGCAAGTGAAGATTTTTTATTATTGCCCAACACATTTTCAAATACTAGTTTCCTTTGTTGGAGGGTGAGCTGCTTCTCTTCTATTGCATGTATTGAAAAGACTTCCTTTAACCTGTTTGTATTGCACTAAACTCAGAATTAAGACTTCAAAACAACTGTGTTTGTTATTTCAGCACACATGCTTCTTTGCTTTTGTGGCCTGTAAATTACCTTGAAGACTTTACAATTTGAAATTGTAGGATATAAGCTTGTCTGCAGGACATTTATCTGCTGTAAACAGTAAATGACTTCTGCCTTCTGCCAGAACTCTGAAGAACAGAGATGGCTTCATGGATCCTCTATAAATTGGGACTCTATTTAGCACGACTCCAATTAAAAATTACTTGCCCCCAGTGTTCTTAGGTTATATAAGGTTTTGGCCAAATCTGCTAGCCTAGTTGCTGCCTTCAGTGAACTAAAAGTGTCCTCTGGGACCTGCTCAAGACATCTCTTCAGCTAAGCTTTCTTGAGGAAGTACACTGAAGATATTGAAAAGAGCGATAGAACCAGCTTGCCAAGCTGAATGTAAAATAAGAAGGTAGCTATTATGAAATGGTAGCAACCAGTGAAGCGTTAGCAACCAATCTGTGCCCTAAACCTGCCTGTGACCTTCTGAAGGATAAGAAAACATTGTGTATGCAACACGATGCCCCAACTCATCAGAACTATCCAAAGTAGACGTTTTTCCCATATGCTTTAGGTTAGTATATAGAATCTCAAAGGGGGGGATTATAATCAAAAGAGGGCATTAATTTGCATCAACTATGCATCTGCTAATTGTGTGTGTGTGTGTGTGTGTGTGTGTGTATTGGTGGAAGTTTAGAAATAATAATTATGAACAGAAATGCAATACATCTCACCACAGTGCAGAAGGCTGACCAGATGGCCTACGTGTCTCTTTGGTTTGGTGTTCAGGTGCTACCTAGTGATGGGCAAAAGTTCTTACTATGATTCTTTTTTAAACAGGAATGGAATAGGCCAAATAATGAACAGCCTTCTGGTAGCCCTTCAAATAAACTACTGTCCTCTTTAAATGAGAGTGAATAGCCAGCCTGGAATGCCTCATTGCTGATTCTGTGAAGTTGTCAATAGGAGACCATTTCAAAATTTCTTTTGCTCCATGTGCAATGGACCCCTTCAGGCAGGTACTGATAAAATTGCTAGGTCACTTACTGTCTGGTTTTGTCCTGGGCAAGTGAGCCACATGGCCAGGTGTTTTCATGGAACTCTGTGATGTGGGAATGTTTTTCTCAGAAGCTCCCATCTGTGTGGGGTGATATCTGTCAATCCCAGCCCTTTTGTAAGTGCTTCAGGAGGAGATGGAGGATCCCATGACAGAGTTCAGTCATGGTGGGGGTAGGGGCACCTGTTATACATAGCCCAATAGAATCGAAAAAGACTTTTCCAATAGTTATCAGCACTATTGACATATTGACCTGGACATGCATGAAACTGCACACAACAGGCATGTGCACCTTGTCATGTCATAGAGGCAAAGATTACTTGAGACAATATATATATTTTTAAGGAGCCACTGAACAGGTTTTGCTGAAAAAGTTGTAACCTGAGATTCATAGACACTTCTAATACGAGACTAAAGCAGCAATCCTCTGACTAGTCAAAACAGGACAGACCAATTCCCTATTTGATTCTTGCTTAGTTATTTTTATTTGTTTGCTTAATTTCTATACCACCCAACAGCCTAAGCTCTCTGGGTGGCTCACTAAGCACAGAACTTCTGCTTTGACACTTCTGTATCATATTTATTCATTAACAACACGTAGAGCTTTGGTGATGGGGCATTATAGAAATGAAACAAACAACAACAACATCAATTGTGAGTTGATATAACAGATCAGTCTCAACAATAATTCCAGCAGAGAAGGAGACTCTGAAGCTGTACAAGTAGCAGGGCCAAATCTAGATTCTAATAAATATTTAAATAGCAAGAATTGTCATTCAGCTGTAATGGACGAATTATTCTTTGGCATACAAAGCAGATTATGACAAAAATTTATAATCAGCACCCACTAACTGATCCAAGATAGAAATCAACTTATTCATCCATGTCTACCATAAAAATATTTTCCTACCAATTTTTAAATTCGAATGTCTACACAGAGTCAACTTAAAATGAACAAGTGGATCAAAATGTAATTGTCATGACAATATACACCTGACTTCTCTAACAGCCATTACTGTGGGAAGAACCCTGCACATTCTAATATGACAAGGAACTAATGCCTTCTGTTTTGATAGAGGGTCCAGACAGAAACATTCCAAAACTTCTCCACATGGAAAACATAATCCTAGTGGAAAATGCCAAAATTTAGTACAAGTCAACAAATAAGTCTGTTGAGATATACCCATTCATCTATATCCCATGAGCTCTCATTAATCTATATATTCAAGTTTAGTTTGATCATTTCAGATATGTCTCTGGGAATAAGAATTACCAAATGAGAGCTGGTAACCACTGCAATTGCCATACCTAACATTCTACGATATATATCTCCGCCTGGACTCAGTTCAGACTTTGACTTGTTCCCTGAATAGCTAAACAAATCAATCAACTGCATTAAAGCTGGAACAGACAACTGGAGTTTTGAGATAAACAATAAAAGATTATCAGTGTAACAAATAATTCTAACTTCTAAACAATCATGCACAAAGCTGAGAATTCTAGCATTCTAACAGCACATGCCAGGGGTCCCAAACATATCAGATGCAGCGGAGAAAGTGTACATCCCTGGCTAGTAACTCCCCCAAGCAAAAAGAAAGCAAAGGAAAGACGATCGCTTATAACTCTTGGGGTTGAATATAAAGCTCTAACTTAGTTCAAAAATCTGACACACAAGTAAAAATGACTCAGTGTAGCAAAAATAAAAAGGTAAAGGTTTCTCCGTGACATTAAATCCAGTCGTGTCCGACTCTAGGGCACGGTGCTCATCTCTGTTTCTTAGTATGGGACCCAGCATGTGTCCACAGACAGTTTCTGTGGTCACGTGGCTTACATGACTAAACACCGAAGTGCATGGAATGTTGTTACCTTCCCAGCAAAGTGGTACCTATTTATCCACTCACATTTACATACTTTCAAACTGCTAGGATGGCAGAAGCTAGGACAAAGCAACGGGTGCTCACCATGTCTCATGGATTTGAACTCGACCTTTCGATTGACAAGCCCAGCAGCTCAGCAGCTTAAATCACTGTGCCACCCACGTCCTATATAAATTTAATTAATGAAGTAATGTAATTAATTAATATCATGTAATGATATTAATTACATTTATATCCTGCCTTTTTCCCCACTTGCAAGGCTACATACATAATCTTCATCCTCTCCATTTTATCCTCACAGCAACCACCTGGAGATGTAGGTTTACTGAGAGAGAGTGAATGGCCCAAGTGAGTTTCATGGCTGAGTGGAGACTAGAAACCAGATCTCCTGATGTGTAGGCCAATACGGCACTACAACACACGGACTCTAAACTTTCAGTGAATTTTGTCAAAGGCCTTTTCAGAGTCCAAAGATGGTCTGGTTGGTTTTATGGGTATTTAAAGCCATCAGATCAAAAATTAATCCAAGATTATCAGCTCCCTGTTGTCTGAGACAAGGAATCCTCAAATAACCCGTTACTTGTTTTAAGAATGTCTGATCCCCAATCTCTGCCACTTGGGTTCACAGGTCACAACAAGCCATGGAAAGCCAGGCACCTGTTGTGCTATGCAAAAATGGTGACGGCAGACCCCTGACAACATAGCAGCCCCTGCGTGTAAAGTAACCCATTGCTGGCTGCTGTAGGTGAGCTAGCTCTATGTCATAAAATGTAGGGATAGTGTCGCATTTTATCATGAACCATTCTGTAGGACTAATTGGAGCTGTAGCTGAATCGTGCTGCTCATACAATATGGAACTCGGATCACATGGAAGGACTCCATGCTATGGTTCTCTCCATGCCAGATTTGCTTTTCCTGGAAACTGTAGTATCAGGACGGCCCACAGTGCCTGAGTCATTTAAATTAGCAGTCGTTTAACCTGACTGCTAATTTGTTATCCCATTCACATATGGGCTATGAATGAACTGAAGGAATACCTACTTGAATGAGCCCTCCTAATAATGAAACTGCTGCCGCAACTCCAATCCTCTGCATCTCAAATTCGGATAAGCCCAAGATAAAAGAACTATTGTCTGCTGTGAAATTGCTGCTCGCAGGAGGAACAAGGCGCTCAACAGCATTTGCAGAAATCAAGGAAGTCAAAGCAAATGTTCCTGTGGAGGAAGAGAGACACTTTCATTTCCATGTGGTACAGCCCAAATTGTTTTGCGTTGTGATCCTAGGGGGACCTAGGAGAAAGAAAGGGGACATACTTAGGAGAAATACATGGAAATTTATGAGCATTATGCCCAAATTATCCTGCTTAAGGTCAGGATGCCAGTTCAGATAGCCCAGCTACATACCTGTCCTTCACGTTACCTTTTAACATTGTCCCTTGCCATATACCCAAGTCCCATTTGTGTATGATGCAAATGGCAAGCAAAAGAAAGCTTGTCCAATTCCTTTTTCCTTTTTTTGCATAGGCACGAGTCAAGGAACTGCATACACATGGGTCCTTACAGAGATGCTTGGATGGAATCTTTCTGAAATGTGTCTCATGGATGTTTATCCACTGACACTTGGCTTTTACTGTGAGGCCTCTTATGCAGACAGCATGTGTGCAGACACCAGTTGCTGAGGAGCTTGGGCAGGCGGAACCCTTGCATCCATCCTGCTTGAGGGATCCCGTGGACAGCTGGTTTGCTGCCATGTGAATGGAGTACTGGACTGGATGGACAATTGAGCTGATTCAGCAGAGCTGGAAGAGGCCTTTAAGCCCACCAAGTCCACCACCCTGCTCAATGCAGGACTTCAGTTAAAGCATCCCTGACAAAAGGCTGCCCACCTGCCTCTTGATGGCGGTGTCTAGGAGCCAGGACCTCCCTGTGTAATTGGTTCCATTGCCATACTGCCGTAACTGTCAGTCTGACCGCCTATGCCTTGAGTCAGTTAGTCGGTGCCCTGCATTCTGGCATGACTAAGAAGAGATCCTGGCTGTGGTCCTGTGACCTTATGCTCTTATAAGGAGAAGGAAACAAAGCTCAGATGAGACAGAGACTGAAGAAGTGCTATCCCAGTTTAAAGTGAAAGGAAAGATCTCTGCCTGTGAACTTGGAGAGGCACTGCCAGAGTAGTGGGCTAGTCATAGGTTAAACAACCCACAGTTAACCTGATGAATAATTGTACAAAGCTACATTTCAACATGCACTTTAATTCATCTACAAATTGGCTTTTGTTTCTAAACTCACGACTTCTAGTCTAGAAATGCTAACTTCATCTAAAGAAACAGGGGACAACCTGAAACAGCTGTACTGATTGCATATAGATCCCTTAAGGAGAAGAGTCCAAATTTTTCTCAAAGTACCAAACAGCCTAAATGCATTTCTTGAAGAAACCAACAGTCCGGCTTATCCCAGCTGGGCAATTATTATACTTAAATGAAGCAACTACGTAATGTCTATTTTGCTGACTCAGAGTTATCATAGCTTCCAAGGAACTTGCCACAAAATCTAAAACGAACTTGCCAGTGAGTTGCAAGGGGCTTTGACAATATGCTGTGCATACGTTCTGATGCAAATTCTATGTACTTTGGACTGAATGTTGCTTTCCCAGTAGACCATATGGCTCCTGCAGAGCTGTTAAACATAGCACTGAATGCACGTTTTGGCACACAGGGCATTTTTGAAAAACCACACAATTACTCAAAAGACAATGATTGCTCCTTAGAAAGCATAATAACAACCAACGGGAATGTGCATATACTCAGGCTTTTCAAACCCCGGGGGGTTAGCTTTGTGTGTGGCTCCACACAATTCCGAATTTCAAGGGGAAACACCCCTCCCCGATATCTGAAAGACCCCCACTGCTCTTTGCCTTCCTCCATCCTTTCCAACCCATATTAACTAGAGGGAGGCTATGACCCCATACCCGACTCCATTGTTTTCTGCAGCTGGGACCAGATGTAAAAACCCTACTTCTCCTTCTGGGAGGTCAGTGTTTCAAATTATTATCTTGGAAGGGACCCTTTTTTCATTCACAATGAATGTTACTGTGATGCCCATGAAAGTTCATACATTATCTAAGAGCCCCAAACTCCAACATGAGCAGCCATTTCTTCCTGTGATAACGACATCCTAGCAATGGGAGAGAAGGTGTTTGTAAGAAACTACGTGTGTTATTTAAATGTGGAACAACGGTGGACTTGGCTGGCTGAGGAATGCTGGGAGTTATAGGCCTTTTTTCTGTTCAGGTATGCATAGACCCTAAAGTAGGGGCAGCTAACATGTGCCCATATACTCTAAAGTAGACATGGATAATGTGTGACTCACATACAGCCCCTGTCATCTTTGGTGGCCCCTGCTGACATGCCACTGGAGTGGCCCCACTGCATTGCAAGGTAGCAGCAAAGCAAAACAAAACCAGCAGTTATGCAGTGGTGGCAATCACACCGTCAAACAAACCACAATGGTTGCCTTTAGGATTTTTACACTGTGATTTGCAGGAACAAACAGCAAATGCACTTGAAAAAATATGCCCACGTTTCAAAAGCACACTTGAAAAAAGCACTCATTTGAAAAATACACACAAACATGCTTTGATCAATTGGAGAAATATGTAGACATTTAAAAAATGAACATAGCTGATGAATATATCTGGGGAAAATAGGCAAAAAAAACCGCACAAGTTGCATACAAAAAGGAAAAAACAAAAAAACAAAGCTCATAATTTGATAAAGATATGGGTAGCAACTAGGTTTAAGGTAAAATTCAGAGAATCTTGACCAGTTTGAGTTTGGTTGACTTGCACGTCCCTTTGTGTGGTGCAGTGCCTAATTGAGTCCATTCAGCAGATGAAATGAACAAATCAGAGATAAGGGGTCAAACTGGCCACAACTTGAATGTGAATGGGATTGGCAGAGGAATAGCACATGGATCCTGTGATCAGGCAGTGCAGCTGCTATCTGATTTCTTCTTCCTGGCCTGTCTGGCAGGTGTTGATGGTGGAGGACAAGCTCAGAAGTCCACCACGATGCAGACCAGTACCATAATCCCCTTTCCCTCCACCCTGGATATGGCAAGATCACAGCCACCACACTGCCATGCTCTTGGTACCACTTCCCTTTCACTGCACTACTGACTCTTACTACAAAACTGACCGTGCTGCATGAGAGCCAGGCTGCAATAGCCTGTGGAAGCGATCAGCATCGTGGACCACTCAGTGCAGCTGCTTAAACAGCAACTTGTCTGGGGCTGGCACTCTCGTCCCTTATGACTATTGGCTGTAGAAGGAAGGTGGGGAGAGCTGAGTTGCAAAGCACATTAGGGCAGCACCCAACCCTGTTGCTTGCACTCCTGCTCATTCAACAGGAGCCGCCACTAGCAGAAGGGTAATCCCTCCAAAAGCCTCTACGAAAGTGAGTGCTCCTTTCTGCTAGCTCCATGGATCTGCCCCATTCCTCATTCTTAGCTCATTGTTCACCCTACAGTGAGTCCTGCTGGCAGCATAAGATCCTGCCCAAACACTGCTGGTTCCGTTTTTCTACTCAGTATGTTCTCTTTGGCAGACCCCCACCGAATAAAATGCTTAGCTTAGGACAAATTTATACAGAACTAAAACTATATCAAAGGCTGTTAAAATACATCTATGGAGGAAAGGTTGGTGAAATATCAAATTAAAAATGCAGGAACAGCTCTAAAGTAAACTAAATGATGCTTCGCCCACCCTGAAACTCATTTTCTTAAAAATGAAAGGTGGGGAAAGAGAATGTAGTTGAAAGGAAAATGCAACCAAACTATTCTTCCTTCTGGGGTATGATTTCTGGCTTATCTGTGCCGCAGAACTAAAGCCACTGACTTCTGAAGTCACAATTTAGTACAATTACTAATTAATGGTAAAACATGTTAATTCATAAAGTTATTAATAACATAATTAACATTCAGAAAACAAGAGATGAGTTAATGGCTTGAGGAACATAGCAACTCAGAGCCCAAGTCTTCAAGAGCTACTATTACCCATTCACTTCTATGGAATCTGCATGGGATTCCTACAACTGAATGACATTCCAGCAGTTTGACCACTTAGTGAATTGTGTCCTGAAACTATTTTTGCCATCTGTCAGAGAAGACAGCTAGAAATGAACTATGCTCTGCCCTTCCACAGAACAGACCTGTTTGGAGGGGCAGGGGAGGGTGTTTTAATTTCTATTGTAGATGATGCAACTTAATAACATAGAACCGAGCATTAACACAGTCAACAGTGATCCTATTATGTGTTCGGATCTGGACTGGACTGGACTAGACTGCAAAGACTGAGACAGCTTACCTGTGGCAACATGGCGGCCCATCCCAAATATGGCATAAATAATAGCAGGAAAGAGAGATCCATATAAACCAAACACAGGATGCACTGAAGACAGAACAGCAAAAGCAAGTCCTGTAAAGGAGATAAATGGGAATTAGGGAACATCTTATATTATGCTCCACACTGCTGCCAAAACTGAGCTGCCCTCAGAGGCCCATTCTATGGGCATGGTCCGAGGTGCTGTGTCCTAAAACATCAGAGCCCTGGAAGTTGCCTATGGCACAAGCCTATGTGTGCTTAGCAGAAAAACGCCCTAGAACTTCCAGCATGCTCCAGCCAGGCATAAAGGTGCAAGGCAAGAGGGTTGCCCGGGAAAGGATGGGAACTGCAGGACTTTTTCTTTCTGTCTGAACACAGCACGGTGCTCTACGCCAGACTATTTGTCCACAAAGCCCAGCGCTCTCTGTCTGAACAGCCAGCAACCATGCAGCACTGAACTTTCTCATCAGCTTCCGACTGATCCTTTGAAACAGAGATGCCAGAGACTGAGCATGGAAACTTCTGCATGCAAGGGGTATGCCCTGTCACTGAGCAAAGGTCCTTCCTCTCAGGTGATTCCCTCTTAGCCATCACTTTAAGAGAACAAGGGAAATCCTGTGCAGGGTTAGCCTTTTCCCATCTAACTTGGATAGGATTATGCCTTAACCTATTGATCAGGAGGTCACTGGTTCCATTCAGACGTCTGCAGTGAATTCAGCAGGTGGCTTTATGGAAGCCACTCCATCTCAGCCTCAGTGCACATGTGCTTGCACATCCACACGCATTTGGGGCCTTACTTTACAATGTGAGCCCTACAAGGTGGTTGAAAGGGTTACAACAAGGTAACACACAAGTAGTACTAGTACTTTGAACAACCACCAAGTGCTACTACAGAAAGTCAGACAGTATGATTTCTCATGTATGGAGTGGGCACATTGCATTGTTTTGAGTTCCCTCATTCATCATTTCAAATTTCTTTTTGTTATTGAGGTTTTGTGTGTGCAAGCCTCTATTTTTGAATGTTGTGCTTGTGTTTTTCAATTATATTACCCCACCCCCTCTGAGACAATAGCCTGATTTGCTGCTTTCCATGCGACCCATTTCTCTGCACATTTCAAGGTACTAGAAAATTGGCTGATTGTACAGTACAACATTCCCCAATCCCTCCAAATGGGTGGGACTACAATCCCCATCACCTCCAGGAAGCATGTCCGTATTAGCTGGGGATGCCTGACAGAACTGGGGGCCCAGTATGTCCAGTGCACACCAGCTTGGGGATGCCTGCTATAATGTCCTTACAACCTGGAGAACGACTGCCTGGCGACAGTGACACATGCGTTGGTGACTTCCCGACTTGACTTCTGTAATGCGCTCTACGTGGGGCTGCCCTTGAAGATGGTCTGGATACTTCAATTGGTTCAAAATAGAGCTGCCAGGCTGCTGACGGGGACCGGGCATGATGTTCACATAACTCCAGTTCTCCTTCAGCTTCACTGGCTTCCCATTGAAGTCCGGGCCCATTTCAAGGTGTTGGTTATGACCTATAAAGCCCTTAACAGCTTGGGTCCTGGTTACCTGAAGGAGCACTTGCGTCCATATATGCCCGCCCGCCCCTTGAGATCAGCGGGAGAGGCCCTTCTCCGGGAACCCTCCGTGAATGATATTAGGAGGGTGAGTACCCGGAGGAGGGCTTTCTCGGCGGTGGCGCCCCATTTATGGAATGTGCTCCCCAGAGAGGTCCGCCTGGCGCCGTCGTTATTTGTTTTTCGGCGCCAGGCAAAGACCTTTTTATTCAAACGTTATTTTAATTGTTAATATTATTTATTTATTTTATTCTTTGGCCAGGGTGACTTAATTTATACTGTTAAATTATATTGTTTTATATTATGTTATTTATTTATGATTGTGAGCCGCCCCGAGGCGTCGGCAAATGGGGCGGCATAGAGGTTCGCTAAATAAATAAATAAATAAATAAATAAATAAATAAACTTCCTGCAGAGCGAGAATCTGAAGGAAGCACAAATGTTCAGACATTGGCATCCTAGCCAGGCAGGAAAAGTGCCAGGGCCAACATGCCAGCAGCACAAAGACTGCCCTATCTGAAATTAAAACAGTCACCAAAGAGCACATGGCATGCATAGGCATGTGCCAGGAGCAACAGCACTGCTGCCATATTTTTTTGGGGGGGGGGGGGGGGAGGCTTCCTGCTGTCTGCCCTCTACCTGCCACCCAACCGCCTCTCCTTTTTCCTCCAAACATTGGCAGCTCCTTTCCCTGCTCTTGCTGTGTCATGGTGCTACAAAGGGAAAGTGCCACAGCAGTGACTGGTCAGGACTGCAGCCCTGGCACACCATCTCAAGTTACAGCATTTTGTTTACTAACTCTGGGCAGGTGGTCCTCTCAGCTTTCAGGTGCCCTCACAGGCCCTGCTCCCCAGGCCAGGGGCCCCTGCAGGGAATGCTTTACTTTAGCAGCATGGCGGGAAGAACTGAGCCACCTGCAACACACCCTGCACTTGTTTGCCAGCAAGTTGTTTTTGGATGTCCCTGACTGAGGTTCAGGAGGTGTGGGTCTCTGAGGGGCAAAGTGCACACTCCCAGATGGCTCCAGAAGAAGCTCCTCCAGTTTATCTGCAGCACATACACAAGAACAGCCAGCTTATACAAGCCCAACTATTTGTTCATCTAGGCCACATAGATTGTTCTGCTTGGCAGTGGCTCTCTTGAGTTTCAGGCAGGAAGGAAAGACACCTGAAGATGCCAGAGAACTTGGGACCCAATCATTGCATTACTGCCCCTCTCAGAGAGAGTTTTCAGCCTGTTCTTGCTGGACTGATTCATACATCTCACACGTAAGGCATATTCATACTTGGCATTTTAAATATGTTTAAGAGGTACAATAATTTTCTTCCCACAGTCATCGGTAAAATCAGGGGAACCAGAGGGAAAATGAGTAAATAATTAACAAGGAATAGCAGCTTGAACATTGCCCAGAACCCCCACATGAAGGTCAACATCAAAGCATGTTGATATCCCACTGATTTCAATTGATACTATTCATTTATTTATCTGAAAACTTATAAACTACCCCATTGAAATATAGTATAATAGCAACATGCAATGAAATCAATAAAATTAATGCATAAAATGATATTAAAATAGAATGCAAATACAGTAGGGCAGACAAAACAATTTAAAATACCAAGCAAACAGAAATGTTTTGACCTGGCCCTGAAGATGGCAAGATGAACATCAGACGAACCCATCTGTAAGAAAAGCGTTCCAAAATGGGGTCCTATATTAGGAAAAGCTATCCCTGGCTATCCCAAAATAAGAAGACACTTCTAGAAGAGCCTCCTCCACAGGGCAGACTGCTTAAGAGAGGTTTTGGATCTGAGCCACTGAGGTTAATTTCATGCTTGGCCTGAAATTAACAAGACCTTGTCAATATCATACTCTTCTTATACAAGTCTATGGTGTGACTGCATGTAGAATATCATGCACAGTTCTGATCCCTGCATCTAAAATGGGATATGGTCAAGTTGGGAAAAGTGCATAAACTGCAACTAAAACTAAAACTACAAGGGAGCTAGACTAACTGCCCTGTGTGGAAAAGGTACAACAGCTGGAATTGTTTAGCTCAGAAAAATGACAAGTGTATAGAATTATGTATGATGTGAAGAAAGCAGAGAAGGAGACATTGTTTCCAACTCTCATAATAACAGAAACTAGGGTCAACCCATGAAGCTGATAGGTGGGAGATTTTGGACAGATAAAAGGAACTTCTTTTAGAATTTGCTACAATAACATGTAGCGATGGTAAACAATGTTGATGTCTTTTAAAAAGGACTGGACAAGTTCAGGGAGGACTAGTCTGCTTGTGGGTTTCCTGTGGAGAGTTGGTTGGCACTGTGTGAATAAAATGCTGAACTAGATGCACTTTGCTCTGCTGCAGAGTGACTCTTCTTCTGTAGACATGTATGATTTTGGCGGGATCATGCATATAACCAGCATTGCTATGATTACTTCTACAGTTCCATCTGTGCACTTTGCAGAGTAAGAACAAGCAGGGTTGACCCTTCAACTGTAACACATGACTCCTGAAAGGAAGTGCAGAAATTATAATGGTACTGACTGTTCGTCAGTGGAATACGAACGTCGAGTTAATCATTTTGCCAGAGCTACAATGAGCGAGTGGACAGCCTAGCACTAAATTATGTAATGAGGTGAACATGTGCAACGAAAGGGGAAAATAAGAAAAGGCTGCAATGGGAAAAATGAGCAAACAATAGATTCAGATAGTGTAGAACAGCTTATCATAGTGGCATGTTTTAAGCCATTGTTGGTAGAATGCCGTGTGCCATTGTTTCTTCAGTGCCAAAGCAGAGCTCACTTTAAAATGGCACCTAGCAGCTATAGAGCTTTCCTTTTTACTCTAGAGCAGACATAGGAGACAATCTGGACATAATCTGACCCAGATTAGGACCCTAATGTGGGGATTACAGAGGCTTTTAAAATATGGACTTTTCCCCTGAAAAACCAACTGTCAGCCCAGGAGGTGACTTCACCAATTTCCCCTAGCCCCATACTTTCCCTACAACCACAGATTGTTAGGCAGATTGCTGGTTTTTGCAGTTTTCCCCCCATTCTAAAGGACAGAAATATCTCCCCTAAACTGTAGTTACTGAGCTTCACGCTTTACACTTAGCTTTATGCTACGTAAGTGGAATTTTAACCTTGCCCTCACTGCATTTGGTTCGAACCATGCTGGCTTCAACCCACCCACCACTGGAATGTGGCCCCCAAGAACTTATCTGAAACTAAATTCAGCTCTTGGGCTGATCAAGCTGCAACAGTCCTGACTCGTTTACACGATGACCAGTGTGATGTAGCTTTACAGTGTTGAACTAGGACGGGAAGAGCCAGGTTCAGATCCACACATGCCCCAGAAGCTTGCTGGGTGATCCTAAGACACCTCACAGGGATGTGGTGAGGATAAAATGGACTAGGGAGAACCATGTGTGCTCTTTTAAACTCTTTGGAGGAAAGGCAGGATGTTATTATAATAAAATAAAGTAAAATAAGATAAGATAA